TCATTGTGCAAACAACAAAAAAAAAAACAAAAGAAAGGGAAAATATCCTGGCTGCATATGCTGTGAGGTTGGAACACAGACGACTCCACCACAGGTACTCAGGGCTTTCAGCAGCTCTGGGCCTAATCCGCAGTCATTTCCTCTTGGCGCTGATCGAGGCTGCAGGAAGCTGACTGAGGCCTGAGTGGTGCTGAAACTGCAGGGACTGCATGAATCTTTTAAGGGACCACGGATGCTTCTGAAGACATGGGTTTGGTGTTATTGATGCACACCAGAGACAGCTTTGAAACGACGGTTTTAGCCAGGTATCTGCTTCCTTAACACCACCGTTTCAATGCTTTTCACCTCACAGCCTTTTGTAAATGTGAAGGGATTTTGTTTTCTTCTCGTTTTAAGATTTTGCTTCACAAAATCAATGAGCAGGAATTAAATATAGATTTTTCCAGGTTAAATGTTGTTTTTTTTTGCAGATGCAGGTAGGTATAATACTCGAGTGTATGAAATGGAAGTTATTCCTATACTTTAGGTTGCTTAAGCTCTGTCAGATTAGATAAAAAGAATCAGTAAAGGTCTCCTTTAACATCTTTTTTACCCACAGGTTCTGGATAAGAATTATGCCAATGATTATGTTTTCACTTTAAATAATGTTGAAAGGTGAGCCACCACCCTGGTTATATTTGCAGCATTTATTCCCCTGCGTTTAGCTCCTCTTTCCTTGCCAAAGGAAGCAGGGTTATTGAGAATGCTGCATTTAAGCCAATTTGAACATGTTTTGTATGCAAGTGAACAAGTTTTAATTTATTGAGTATTTTAACCAGTAGTTGGTTAAAAAAAGGCATTTTGCAGCTACCTAAATAGACATTATGATGGAAAACCCCCCAAAATATTAGTGCACTTTCATAAAACAAAAATATAGTTTTAAAGATTTCACCTTGTTCCAACTATAACTATTCTTTGTTTTATATGCAGTCTATGTTTTTCTTTAGCAGAGATGCTTTAGCTATTGATCCAAGCGCAGCAATGACATCTGAACGCTTGAGCTCAAGGTCAGCAGGAGCAGACTGAATCACAGAGCGATGTCATTGGATTAGATGTCAGAATTTGATTGCACACATTTCATTTACAGCTTTTTTTTTTTCCACAGGCTTATAAATCACAGGATCATAAAACCCAATGTCAGAATGGCTGCAGAGTGAAGGGGAGAGCGAGGGTCTATTTTTAAGAATAATAGGACGGGCTCCAGAACAGGTGCGGAGCAGCTCATCCAAACAATGGCCCACCTCGTCCGTTCGGAACTAAATGGGTGGGCAGGGTCCAACGCTCAGCGGGCTATTTCTGTTGCTGCTGGTTTGACAGCCAGCTGTCAATATGAGGGACGCTTTTACAACAATAGGGCTTAGGTGGAGCTGATCTGGACTTTAAAACACAGATTTGTTTTGAAACGACAAAGTTTCCCTGATTAGATAGGCTTAGTAATGTCTCTCTTAACTGTGTTTTTAAATTGTGGTATTAATTAGGATCCCTTTTGGATAAAACCAGATTAGAGCATCTTTAGTAAAAACACAGAGAAGTGATTTGGAATACAACAGAACATGCATTCAATAAATCTGAGTGTGGAAAAGCAGTGGTTGGAATGTGTGAAATCCCCCTGTGACCGGGGTATCGAATGTGCATTAGCTTTAATGAATGCGGTCAGTTGGTGTTTGGCTGGAACTGTGGAACAGCACACCGACCGACAGTGGCAGGAATGTTGCTGGTGCTGCTTTCAGCATTAAGCAGCATTAAGCCAAAGCCTGCAAAGCATGTCACCAACACAACGGTCTCAGGGGCGAGCTTAGCACCTTCTTCACCAACATATGAGGCACTCAGAACAAAAGCATCCCCTTTTGAGCCGTCTTAGGCCACATCGGATCCAGTTATACGTTTATTCCCAGCTATGTGAAACTGCTAGTAAAATTTAGTTAGTATTAGATTTACACTACTTTCTTTTATCATTAAAACCACACCAACATTGTACAAGTCATCTTTTAGAGGTCATGTTCGGGTTTAATCGTCTCTGAGGTCAAAGTGATGAACGCTTACCTCTTACACTGCGCGTCCCCTGAAGAAACAATGGGATTTACAGCAAGTACCGTTTTACGCCTCTACATCCAGGCGAATACTAGTCCAATCATTCCCTCTTCCAAACAAATGGCAAACTTAATACAGCCCCGGGGGTCTCGTGACTGCATGTCTTTGCTATGACTGGTCGGGACGTTTGCTTCTATTGTTGGAGACACAAAGTCAGATGAGAGGTACCTGGACCAAAATACTGCCTTCAAATACTGTTCATGAGGAGGGGGGAGTTAGCTGCAGAAAAAGTGGTGGAGGGTTGCAGAGAATAAGGAAAAATCTGGATTAAAGGTTAGAGCTCAAGTAAACGGGGTTATTGCAAAGTATATCACTAGTTGGGAAGTGTTGGCCTAGAGGTTAGAGCAGTGCGCTTGTGCTCTGAGAAGGTTGCAAGTAGGCTACCCAGTTTGATCCTCGCAGCCTCCACTCTGGGTCCCTGAGCAAGACCTTTAACCCCAAACTGCTCCACGAATGCCGCACAATGGCAGCCCACTGCTCCAAGGGGATGGGGCAATATCTCCAATGTGAGAACAAAAACGTTCAATTATAATTAGTTCTAAAACCAAGTGAAAGCAGTGAAAATCTAGGACCTGAGATACAAAAAAAAAAAAAAAAACTATATTTTATTTATGAAAAAACTCAAATTATAGAGTGGCTTAAAGCAGACAGTTGATAAAGAAAATTATTCATTAGCCTTTCAACATCACATTGACTATCAAAGCAGGCTAACTAAAGCTAGAGAAGAAATGCTTCTGCTAACTCAAAATATACTCCAAAAAATACTCCACAATGCACATTAAACTAAATTAAAATTAATTTAGGATATCTTTCATAATAACTGGCTTTATATAAACTTATTTAACTTAAGCAGGTTAGCCAACACTAGGCATGTCCGCTGGAATAGATCAAAATACACAAACATCACCCTTTTCCCACCATTTATAAAAAGGGAAAAGCAATTAAAGAGCAATTAAAGAAACAAAAGGATTACATAGAAAGTAAAATCATAATCCAACAACTCAATTATATTGTTTTGTGCTTTCTTAATTGTTAACAGCAAAGTTTTCAGTGCATTTTAATGAGCGGAGGGTCTTACAAATATTGCCGTCAAACAAAACTGTATAAATGTCTATATTGTTAATTATGCTCCAACAATCATTACGTTGAGATAAATATAACAATAATATAACAAAACACATTTTTTTCCTGCCACTGAAATAGTCTTCCCAAAGAGCAGTCAAGAAAAATGTTTTGAGAAAATGATTTAAAGGCAATAATGATGTCGATGGACATAAATACATTCTTTTCTGTGTGAAACTGATTTACAAGAGGTTTAATGAAGAGGAAAAAATGAATATCTAATTCTGAGTGAAACATCAGTGGATCTGAATTGTAGTCCATATTTCTTTTTATTATCTTAAAGTTCAGTTTTCTGGTAGAAATTTATGTATTTTTATACTTTGATCTCCAGAGTTCTCATTTTGTAAAATGAATCTTAGTGTAGTTCATAAACTTCAGCGTGTTTTGGCCTTTTTCTTCATCTGGCGAAAAAAAGTAGGGCAAAGGAAAGATGCAACAAAGAAAGGAAATACACAAGGAAGAGAAAAACAAGGAACAAGGAAAGAGGAACAGAAGTTCGAGTTAATGGATAGAAGGAAGGAAGCAAGGATAAAAGACAAGGAGGACACAGGGAAGGAAAAGGAAGGAAATTAAGGAAAGGTAGGAAAGAAAGAAGGAAAGAAATGAACATAAGGAAGGAAAGACAACAGAAAAAACTAAGGAAGGCTAAATATGAGGAAAACAGGTATAAAGGACAAAGGAAAGGGAGCGAGGACAAAAGACAGGAAGGTAGGAGGCAGGATGGACACAATGAAGGAAAGAAACAGAATGGAAGGTAAATCAAGGAAAGGTAGGAAAGACAAGAAGGAAAGAAATTAACACGAAGAAGGAAAGACAACAGAGACAACTAAGGATAAAAATGAAACAATAGGGGAAATGAGGAACATGAGGAAGTAAGGTGGGAAGGACATGAAGAAGGGAGGAAATATGGAAGAAAAATGGAATAAGCATCAATTCTTGAATTACAAACATGTTACAGTTTTATTTTCTTTTTCCTTACCTGGAAAATGCCACAAAAAAACAAAACAACGAAAAACAAACAGACTGCTCCAGACAGCGTTAACATCAGGATATTCTAAAAGGTTTATAGATACTTTATAAAGGAAAGCTAAAAGTAAAATGTAGAACAAATACCAGACAATTAAAAACAAAGAGACTTGAACTAGAATACCTCAATGTCTTTATTGTTGCATTTAAGTCGAAGGTACAATGTTACAAACATCCATCCATGTTGGGACATTGAGATACAGAGTAGGATACGATTACAGATGTGTGTGTTGCATAGGCTTGGAGCTACACAAACAAGTGCCTGATTAAAAAAAAAATGGAAAAAAGCATAAAAAACATAAAAAAGGACACAAAGTTGTAAAAAAAAAAAAAATACAGCACAATAAAAAGACCTTATTAAAAAAAAAACATAAAATGTCACATTAATTAACTCTTTCAAAAATATTTTGGTCAAGCTCCCCTGCTCTTTTCAGGAGCCAAAGGAATGTGATTGTCAGACTGTTGAGCAGAAACGTTAACCAATTTAATGCCCTGACAAACCGTTCATGTACTAATCCCAGATACAAGCTACTAAAAAACACAACGGATAAAAAAAACAAAAACATAAAATCAAATAACCTTTGCTGTGATCCATTTCTCAGCTGATGAAAACATCTTTGCAATCGTAAGGCGAGAGGTTTTACATAGTGGTAAATATCCTTAAACTGCTAACTCATTACATGCTTTGGGCAACCTGTTTTTTTTATTCTTTTTTTTTAATGCCGCTGTCATACTTTCATTTAGTCAGGTGATGTTGACGTATAAAAAATTTGGCAAAAACGCAGGCATACATCGGTTTTGTATGTTATGGGCACGCTGGCATGTTGACATACGGCAAATATGCAAGCATGCTCAACATTTCTATGCTCATACGTAGGACATAAGTTATGTGATCGTTGAGAAAGGTTAATTGTAAGTTACTCATAAGTAATGCTAACTTATCCAGCTCATATTATCCCCATCATAGGCTGAGCAAGAAGGTGAGTGTAAATGGATCCTCCCTGCGTTCACACCGACGGCCTCGACCAACAAACTTCCTAGCAGACATGACGCTGAATCTGCTGCGGCTGCAAACCTTCTTTCTTTTTATTTGTTTTTTGGCGGTAAACAGAAGCAAGGTAATACAGTTACTGCGGAGTTTAGAGAAATCTTCTTATTGTGCTTTTTATATAGGCTGAGCGTCTCCTTAACGCCTTCATGCTTGTGTCATATCATGAGCATTACGCTGCCGTGCATCATGCATAAGTTAGGCCAGGGATCTGCAAAGTCGGTCCTCCAGGTTCGCTGTCCTGCAGGTTTTAGAGGTTTCCCTGCTCCAGCACAGCTGCTTTACATTGATAGTTGATTAACAGGCTTTTGCTGAACTGCAATCATCAGAATCAGCTGTGCTAAAACAGAGAAACCTCTAAAACCTGCAGGACAAGTTAGGCTGTCGTTGGACATAAGTTCTGGACTCATTATGAATACTCTATGCATACGCCCAAAATTGAAAAAATGCATAGAAAGTTCAGCATATGCCAGCATTTTAGAGGATTCTGGGATGTCGGCATACCCTGGCTAAATGGTCAAGGTGTGACAGCGACATTACATAACATGCCCTTAATTAAGGTATTGCTTGAGCTTTTAAGAGATTACTGTAGAAGGCAGAATACAAAACATGACTTGCACTTTTTCTGTACAGGACAGCTTCAAGCAGAGAAGGCACCACGAGCATTCAGAGGAATGTAAGAAGATTTTGTCTGAATATTTATTTTTTTTACAGTGCTGCTAAGAAAAAGTTTGCATCTTTAGAGATTCATTCTGTTTTAAGGTTAAATGTTGCACTTAAATGACACACGGAGTGTTTTTTTTTTTTTTTGATACGGCTATTAAGAAGTTTTTGCAAATCTGATGAATTCAGTCGCTGGAAGAGTAACGTCACGTTAGAGTGCTGATTTTGAAGAGCCCACTCAAAAAAAAACATTTGTTTCATGGGGACATTTAGATATGGACTTGTTGGTGAGTAGTTTTCTACTCGAAAGCAGAATTTTTACCTCCTGAACCAAGTAAAAAGAAACCAGACCATCATACTACCACCACCATGTTAGACTCTAGGTATTTTGAATGGATAATAACACTGTTTCTTATCAGTTCTTCCATTTCCTTTGATTGGATTTTATAAAGACTTTGACATATTTTCGCCTACTTCATGCCGTCAGACATTTTCCTTTTTTTACATTTACATTTAAGGCAGTAAAAGTGCTTCCAGCTTTCTAAAGAAATGCAATGAATCACAGCCTTTAAGAAATAACACCTGTACCTTAGGTGATATTAAAAGAGACATTTAGGTGCGACAATAAAAATAAAAAAAACAGAAGAAATCTGTAAAGATCAACCACTTTTTTCATCAGTACTGTTTAAATTGATCAATAAAAGCTAAAAAAAAGAACAGATAGATAAGATAAAACACATTAAAACTTAAATTAAAATGACAAAGGATAATAATAAAAGTCATAATGGCCTTCTAAATATTCAGCACTCCCTTTCACCTTCAAATATAACCCTCTGTTGGTGAGTTTTTGATACTAAATAAAAAAGCGAAACATACCTTCTATGCGCATAGCGATGTTATAGATGATACAAAGATGATCAGAACGTCACATGTGCTAACTTATATTACTCAGACTTTTGCTTTGCTATTGTTAAAACATTAAACAAGTGAAATCAGCTAAAATCTAGAAGTGCTTACATTTCTATCCTGAACAGGTGGCTGCTGAGTATAAAATAGCAAAGTGTGAAGCGGTCTCTTTAAATATAAATAAAAAAAAATAATAATAATAAAGGAGAGATGGAATGTAATCTGTAAGAGGTGGAGAGGTGGTTTCACTCGTCTCTTTGGAATGTGGGAACTTTTAAACCTGTCCGCTAGAGTATAAAAAATACTAACGCTTGATTCTGATTTTTTTTTTAGGTTCTAAAATGTCCAAATTTCACAGCATTTTTTTCATTATTGTCAAAGCCTAACCCATTGTGCAAAAGTACTAAGATTGGCAAAGAAAAAACAAGGGTGGTGTTTCAGTACAGTGCGAGGTCAGCGTCTTTGTGGTCCCCTCGTAAGGATCTGGATTTCATTTGGTTTATAGGGAGATAAAAAGGAAAAACTGTTCAAAAGGTAGAATCTTGGATTGTCGCGGTCCCCATTTTTAGTGGCTCCGTCAAGACATTAGTGTCCCATACCTGGAGAAAGACACGATGCAAGTAGATCAGTGGCTGTGTTTACAGTCTTGCAGACAAGTGCGGGTTAGTGGCTCTGATCCTCTGACACGAGGGGGTCAAAATGAGCAAAGAGCACAGAGAAGAGTTCAGGAGGCAAAGCTGTGTGCTGTCAGCACTTACTTAAGCATATCTTGAAAAGCATGGCATATATACACAAACAAAATCCAGAGCATCCATCGTTCGTTTTGCACTTATAAATTTAGAGCATTTCTAATTTTGGGAAGTTTTTTCCTTTTACACTGCTTTGATTTTTCCTGATATGTTTGGAAGATATCTACCNGCAAATTAGACATAACAAAGAAGTTTATAACTAAGGTAGTTTTGCAAACACATGCTTTAGTATTATTATTTTCAAATGTTTTTTCTTTCCAGCAATATGCGCTACTTTGTTTTAATTTTGCAAACACAGGCTTACAAAATACATTTAAGATGGTGGTGAAATATTAAAAAGGTTAACATTTGATTAGGAAATTTGGTGCTAACTGGGGTGTTTTGCTGTGCCTGCATCCTTAAGGTCCTGCAGCCAGCTCTGGGTAAGAAATCTGAAATCTGTACAAATCCTCCATCATCCTCTAAGTCAGCCTGAAATGGTGCACTAATCTGCAACATACCAGCCATTAATGTGACAAAACCAGCCTGGCAGGAGCTCCGCTTCTAACACTCATCGGGTCTAGAGCAGCAAAAGTGGAGCTGTGCATGAGCGAAAAAGCTAAAAGGTTTGAGTGGCGTCACGATGGCTGCAGTGTTTATAGAAGCTGCATGTGCATGTGTGCACTGAACAAGTGGCACGTTACATCGACACGTACAGAATCCATCAAGGTCAAAGTTCCCTCCTGTCTGCTGGGGGGTGAAGGAAGGAGACTGCACTCCGTTCTGACTCTAAAATAGCAAGCAATGTTTAGGTGGCATCCTAAAAGGCTGTGGAGTTAACAAAAGGCCAAATGGCATGCTGGAAAAGACCGCAGGGAGGGCTATGGTGTGAGCAGTTTATGCTTTAAGGACACATGGTGCTGGGTAAATCAAAGCTCAGGTGACAATTTAACACATGTAGCAGAAAGGTCAAAGCAAAAAAGCAGGAAAGGGTAGTACTTTAGAAAACATCAATGCACACTTCAACGCCCTTTTGTTAGAGAAAGTAAATTGACAGCTTAGTTAAAAAAAACGGGGCTGCCACAAAAATCTGGTGCTCTTTGACATACAGAATTGGGTTGTGTTTACTAAATATTAGTTCTTTGTATGTTTTAAAATATTATTTTATAACATAATGTGTTCTGTAAATCTGACAGGAGTTATTAAAGGTGAAACAAGGATAACAAAGGTTCAATTGGAACAGGCAGCTTAGAAAGGAAGACATATTTGGGCTGTGTCTGTATTTCCGCCCTAATCACTATACAGGGCACTATATAGTGGTTACGGCATTTTAAATGAGTCTCCAAATGTCTAGTGGATGGAAGAATTGTGGGCTCAAAATTTCCCACAATGCACTTTGAGAAAAAGTGATCATCCATGGTCACTAGACAAGCAGATATATCCCGGAATGCTTTGAGTGGAGACCTCTCCTCACAAAGCATTATGGGATTTGTTGTCACAACAGCCGCTGTTTTTTTTGGGCTTATTTTAATATAAATATAATGAATATATTAGAAATGCATAAATGACAGCAAGAATATTAAATAAATAGGCTGGCAATTTCAAACTCCAACAATGTTAAAAGCTTTTATAATTAGCTCCTGTAGCAGCTAAATGTGCTCTAATGCTGGCTTGTCGTTTAATAAAAGCACAATAGCCTTGATTTCCAAAACAGTGATGCATCATGCATAGTTTTTGCTGGTAGTTGTTTGATATAAAAGCAAATCCTGAAGATATTTTCAAATGTCTCATGCAAAATTCCTTTGCAGAAATAAGCTAAAACTAATGTCTTGTTATTACTCACCGTTAGCAACTGATTTGGCCTCTCCTCTGCCTGCCATCTGCCAAAAACATCACAAAAATATGGTTACGATGCAGCAAAGATAAGATTATAAATAAAAAAAAATACCTGAACCAATAAGCAAAAAATAAAAAAATAAAAAAAATAAAGAGAGCATCACATTGTAGTCTATTGAAGAGTTTACCAACCGATACCTGGCTTTGGCAAAGCCCCAACCTCAGTCTAGGACCTACAAACTCCAGAATTATCTTTTTTTCTGTTTTTGTCACTTTAAATGTTTCACATCGTCAAAGATAATCAAACCCCCAAAGCAACGATTCCGTGGGCAAAACTATTATTAACCCTTCCAAAAAGTAATTGCTGTTGAAAACTATGAACTCATCCTTTTATGCAGGAGTATGTTCAGTTCAGTCAAATTAGAGGCTTTTTTGAACATTAACTTACAGAGAGATGTCAAACCCACACTTTTTAGTTTCTGCCTTAAACTAAAACAGTACATAAACTTCATTATATTTAGTAAAGTATTCAAAGTTGACCTTATTGGTGTACCAGGTATCAATTTTCTGCTGCGTTACTACACAAATCGATGTTCTTCTCTTTTAGGACTTTCTGCCAAGCAGCATTTCATGAATAACAGCATGTCACCCAGACCTCGAGGCAACAAAGGAGCTTAATTTTGGTAACATTGAACAGTTTCTTTGAGTTCTTGGGGTTTTTATCTTAAAAAAGGAATGGAAGCTTTTGTGTCTTTCCTGTTGGGCATCTCACTACAGTACAATAGGAGCTTAGAATAGAGTTTTTACTATTTCCAGACCAAAAGATGGATCTATCAGGCTATGGTTAGATGATGAATTAACAAATTATATTTTTATAGTTAATTTATGATTTAAGCTTTTATTTTCTTAGGAAATTAGTTTAATGATCTGAAACATATTGGTGTGAAAAGCAAAGCAACAACCAGGAGAAGTCTAAGTGTGTAAATACTGCAAACCTTATATTTGGTTTGATCAGATTGATTCTGAAACGACATCCCAGCCATATTGGAAAAAACAAAACATTTAAAACTTTCACCAGTTCAAGCGACAAAACATTTAGTGAAGCTGAGCAGAGAGCTGTGATTTGCGGCCATCAGAAGCTGGAGCAGTGATGTGACAAACCCACCCATGAAAAGTGGGAACACCAGTCACCCAGTCAGAACTTGCAATCTGGACCTGACTAAACCTGCTTTGTTACGTTGAGATGATTAGACCGATTCATGTTTGTCTTTTCAATGAACTTGATTCTCTGGAAAGTCGCTCTTGTTTATTGCTCTAAATGACAATGAAGCCCTCAGTCACACAGGTGCATAATAATTATCTAATCCAGCACTAAACCTCATGGGCACCTATTTTTATTACTACAATAAACAGTAGTGTCCAAACAAAGCAGAGCAGAATGCAGCTGCGCCCTTAACAGAGAGCAAAACAGCGTGGCAGCAGAGCGTGAGGTCATTCTGGGACAAGTGCGTGGCGGCAACGTAGATTAATTACTCCTTTACCTCTGCAGGCTTATTCCAGATCGAATGCCGAGGTCAACTAGCTGTGAGAGTTCTTTAAAACAAAAACAAACACCAGTGATTGTTACTTCAATTACTGCCGCGGCAGGGTCAAAACAACGTGAGATCCTGGCTCTTCTTTTCTCCCTCCTCGACTTTAGCAAAACATTCTCTTGAGGGGCGACGGCTGAAAAGGCATGAGAAGCTTTCCGAGACCACAAACCACTTCATAGCATATTTAAAACTTCATCTGGATGTTGTAACGCTTAGCTAGGCTTTTTTTTTTTTTTTCTGCTCATGTTAGAAGTGAAAGAATGAGCAGAGATCAATAAGAGCTACCTTTGTTGGAGTGGCGCCTTTGTTTTCCCATAGACTCCTCTTGTTGGTGACATCAACGGGTTTCAGGTCCTGTCGGAGTGAATCAGAGAACAAAAGGCAGGGAACAGAGCCATTTATCAGTGGTGCTCAGCAACTGTAGATCTGCTTGATTTAGAGGAAGAAAAGTGGGAAAGTGAGGATGAAGGGAGAGTTTAAAGGCTTAAAGGCCCCTTTATTATTAACCCTAAAATAACTTACTTTAACCGGATTTTATTCTATTTCTTGGCTTTTAAACACGCGTTAAGTTCACACCACATCAAAATAATCGTATTCAATTCTTAACTCTGAACTGGTAACAACTTCTGCCATGTTTAGATGAATAATGGCTTTTAACTAGATGTAATGAGACATATGTCTTCTATGAAGGTTGTACGACAGCATAATGCAATGTTTAAGATCAGATTTAACCAAAATGCTCAAAAATCAATGTTTTATTTCCTCTGAGCTGCTCAAAGGTGGACGTGATAGTTACTTTTTGGTTCTTTTGTTACTTTAGATACATTATTTTATTTTTACGTAGTGAGATCTGTTCGTCTACTTCATATTGTCAGTCGGGTTCAATTTAAATGCTTTTTTTAATTAATTATGGCCTTAACCAACCATGAGTGTATATGGACCTATTCTCTATTAAAACTTGATCACAGATAATTCATACCTGCACAGAAAGGTTGACTTTTTATTGCTTAATACACGAAATAATCGTTTGCAATTGAAATTTTGTTTTTGCTTAGATTATCCCATCTGATATTTTAGTGTCCAAAATTTTAACTAACTTTTTTTTTTAAAGATTAGATTAGATTAGATGAGCTTTATATACCAGTGAATTTCTTCACAGCGGAGAAATTCACTGGTCACATATTGGCATAGCACTTAAAGAAGGTGCAAACAAGGAGGAAAAGGTGCATCAGGAATAAAAAAAAATAATAAAAAATAAAAATAAGACATACTAAAGCTTACTATTATCTGCATAAAGCTTAAATAACTACTGAACTGTTATAAACTTTAAATATAACAAAGTGTGCCATGGTATTCTCATCAATCTCCATCTGCATGAGTTGAAATATATCTGTGGCCACCAGGTGGCGCCAAAGAAATGACAGCTGCACCAGAATCAGCTCCCTGCAGCTTTTTAAACCTGCCCTGCAGTAATGAAGCAGGGCTGAGGTCACAGGCAGAGCTTTGTCTCTATTGATTGCAGCTCTCTTGTAAAACTCAAACGGTTTAAAAGTAAATATAATTCTGACTGAAATCCTACATAAACACGTTTTTGTTTTTTTAAAGATGTTAAAAATTTCAGTCTTTTTTTCTTGACTTCAAACCCATAACTGAAGCCATGAAACTACAGGAATCCCTCCTTAGTGAATGAGCATTTTTTAGTATCGTAGTCTACAGCAGGCATGGTTGGGATATATTTCTTTTTTTTTTCTACAGCAGGAGGTCTTATGAGTGTTTCCGCTTGTACAGAGGTGTATAAATGTGCTGGTTTATGGACCTCTGAATACGCCTCAGAGCTGTGCTTTATAAGCAGAGTATTTCCTGGCAGCGACCTACCGTTGGCCTTCCTCCTGACGTCTTGCCGCTCTCTGGGGTTTTATTCAGCCAGTCGTTGATGCGGCCCGCCACGCCCGTCTTTATCACAGCTGCTTCCTGTTTGGAACAGGTCAAGAATCAGCCAAGCTGGAAATCACCAGTCATTCAACAGCTCTCACACTCAGACTTTTTCACATTTTGTCCGACCGATATAAAGTAACACACATGTCGCACACATTTATATGAAGCCCCATCTGCTCTGATTAACCTAAATAAAATGCAGCTAGTTGGCTTTTAAGTAAACTATTTAAGTATTAAAGTATTAAGTATTTAAAATATGTACTTTATGAGGGAAAAAAAAAACTGTAGAGCTGCAGGTTCCAACTCCTCCCACTGGATTAGTGTCCATCTCACTCTGTGTGGGAGAAAAACTCCAGTGGTGAAAACTAAATATGGGATTTTTAGCAATATGCAACAAATCTGCCACTGCAAAGCTACACTTTTTAACTTTGTCCCTACAAAACTCTCTGATTTTCAGTCAAAGTTTGTAATATGCACAGAAATTCACAATTTACATGATGAACTCTGCATGCAAACATTTCACATTTCCTGCATTTTCCTTCTCCCATGGTGTTCAAGAGTGAGAAGCTATGTTGCCTTTTAGGCCTTGGAAGGACAAAGGAAAAGGAGGCACACCTGTCAGAGAGTGAAATGATACTAAAAACGCAGAGCAGCGTGTCACAGCTAGCCAACGGCTGGCCACATATGAAACAGTTTGATGTAAAGATCTTCTTTAAAATCATAAAAAATTTTTTTTTTATTTAAATCATTTTTTTAATCATTGCATTTGTGCTTCACTGCAGCACCACCTTGTTTCTTTGTGTTAATGAGGGAAAATTACATTTCCACTACATTTCGGTGAGATGTAACTGCTACAATCAGACAGAAGAACTAAAGACATAATAGTAATAAAAAAAAAAAAAAAATCAAGTCAGTGAATGAATTAGAATTTTTTCTGTGGGTATTTTTGGCTCCCTGGAGTTTCTGTAGCTGCAGTATTGTTCTCAGCTTGCAATTTGACATGCGACAGTGTCACACAAAACAGCAAACATCATAACTACAAGTGAGTGAGAAGTTTGTTCTCAAAAAAGGAATAAAATCATCTGTTTGGAACTGCAGGGCTAAAGTTCTGTGGTAGTTGCAGATTTCCAGCATGCGGTAACTGCGGTTGTATTAGAAAAAAATAGGGTTGTGTATTGAAATGCACATGTTAAAACGGTTAGAAAAGGTTCCCGGTCCAAGCTTAGCTGTTAACAGAAGCACGGCTGCAAATAGCGCGGCATGGATGTGATGTGCCCCAGCCCACTCTTCGGGTTTTGGGATAAGCAGAAACTGCAGGTACAGGATTTATTTTTTCACTCTAAGCACTGAAACTGGTCTGGGTTTGTTGCGACAGATATGGAGCCTTAGAACCCCACGCTTCAACATTAGCCTCGAGTGGAGGTCTTCAACAGGGGGTCCGCGACCCCTAGGGGGTTTACGGAGGTATTGCACGGGGGTCATATTTCCACTGATCTTTAAATACACATTAACATGAATTCAACACACTGTAGTAAACAGATAAATGGAGAAGATGTCTTTCAGTCATCAATGCACAGATTCAGTGACACACAGAAGCTCTTTCAAGCTGGGCACCGTTTCATTCACAACACCTGTCCCATCAACCAGGAATCAGAATCAGAAATACTTTAATAATCCCAGGGAGAAATTAGTTTCATTTCATGACTCCATCTGTAATAAAGGGATTATAGGACCAGTTTGATAGAACACATACAATATATATAATTAGGGGGTCCCCGCTCCATCTCGCCATCAGTTTGGGGGTCCTTAGCCTGGAAAACATTGAAGGCTAGAGGCTACTCTTTTCAAGGCAGCAGCACCACTTACCTTTTTCAACACCTAAAAGAGAAGCATCCAGCCGAATATGAAAAATGCCAGTTTCTCCAGGGCGAACAAACCCACACTAACCAAAATGCCCACAGCTAAGGAACGGCTAACTGTAGCAGAATCCTTTGAGCAAAGCACCGCATATGACAGGTAAGGAGCAGCGTCGCTTTGCACATAGCCAAAGACATGGTGCCCCATTTGTACCTATTGCTTTCCTTAATAATTAAGGGAAAAAAATATTGAATCAAAAATAAAAAAATATGAGATTTTATTTTTAGGCCATATGGCCCAGCCATAACTCTTTCCTGTTTCTACCTTATAATGATCTAGTTTATACAACACCCAGTAGCATAAATGAAGGTTGGAGACGGTGAAACAGTGAAAAATCTCCAGGTGGATCCTAAAAGTTTTATTAAATTCCTTTTCTTTACCTTAAAAGTGCTTCCGCCACTTCCGGGCGAGCCAAACACGTTGCCTTTCTCCCACATGCTCTTAATGTTTCGCACATCAGTGACCAAGGGAAGATCCAAAACAGTTGAGCGAGGGGATCTGGATTCCTTGTTCTCTCGCTGGGAAGAGAAAACAGCAGTAATTATGGCTTAGACATGTCACACCAAAAAAAAACATTTTTTTTTTTTACTAATGAGGTGATAGACGGTTTGAAAACCAAAAACAGAACTGACCTGAGCAGCTGAGGTGTACTGCTCCAGCCTGTTGTCTATCTTGGACACCACAGGAGAATGAGAGGCCTTCACAGTGCTGCAGGAACGAGCAACATTCATATAGTCATATGTTACACCTCCATTTTAAGCTAATTTTATGGACATACAAAGATAACCTGAATAAAGTCTGAGGTAATTATTAAAATCATAACTTTATCAAGGAGAAACCACTCCTTTGTCAAAAAAAGCTCCGATCTACGAGCGTCTAATTTACATGAGAGTCTGAGGCCCATTAACTGCCAGACAATTAAACTAATGCCACAATTTTGGTAAAAAAAAAAAAAAGTCCAGATGAAAGCTTCAAAAAGAACATTAAACTGACAGTAAAACATGGTGGCAGTAGAATTGTGGGATGTGGCTGCTGCAGGACAGCCTGTTATAATGTATATATCTCTGGATACCACCATTTAGCCGAAAAAGGAAGTCAGGTCACACATCTGTGACCTTATGCTGAAGGAAACTGATCCAAAGCACAGCAGGAAGGATGAGTAGGAAAAAAAGGGATTTTAAATGGCTGCAAGCATGATGCATTTACTAAAATAAAAAAATAAAAAACAGAATTTGGCTGAATTAAACCAATCATCAAAGGCAACTATAATTCGACCCAGCAGTGTTGTGGCACAAGCAAAGGATGGTTTGAGAAGCTTTCTTTCCCTCTTAAATGAAATCATTTGAAATATTTCTTGAATACAGAAAAGCACAAACAATAAGAAATCAAAATGTGCATATATAACAGTCTCTTAATCAGTAAATTAGTAGGATTGACATAAATTTGGCTTATCAGACCAAAAACAGAGTTGTACCTTTTCTGTGCAGACTTGTTCAGGAATTCTGCCCTTTCTCCAATCTGGAAAGCAAATATTCAAACAAGTTAGATATTGCCTTCATATCTATTTAAGACATCTAAACTCACTTCATTAAGATGATATATTTTCACACTTGTGAAGATGAAGCTCAGCATGTGGACAAATCACTCCACCTACAGGGATTTGATGAAACCTTACTTTAAACCTTTTTGTTCTTTTTTTAACAGCCGATATCTAATTTTATCTCGTTTTCTTGATCTGCTCAATAGCTTAGATGATGCTCATCAAAAATGTCCCTCATTGTTCCCTCTGGGTGCAAAAGCGGCTCTCCAAATAAGCACACGCATGCAGAAAAACAAGACAAACATAGCAGGCTCTTTCCTTTCCCTGCAGTAAGACTGTGGGAATGTCAGAGGATTGTTTATGATATACACGGCATGAAAACTTTGAGAGGGGGCAGCATTCCTCAGTCACAACGTTCTCTGGATGGACAAAAGACAAATGCTAAGAAAAGGCTTTCTTTCCTCCCTTCATTTTTTTTTTTCCTTTATGAAAACAGACCTTTTGCTTGAGCTGCTACTGAGCGTTCAAGTTCCAAAAATAGACTCCTGGCAGGAAATTCCCCATTCTCAGACGCGTTTTTAAAGAGCTGCATCCATCCGAACGCAGTTGCAGTAATCCTGTTAACCCTAATCGCTTTCCTGCACATCCCTGCAGCCCGTCCTTCATTTGGCCTGCTTTGCGTCTCTGCTTTATCTACAACATAAACCAGGGTTATGCTGGTTGACGTCTGATAATGTGAAGGCGAGCACTTGGAGCTGTAGGTTACACCCCTAGGTTTTCCCAAGCACTAAGGCATTATCATCCATTACTTTAATATAAAAACGATTCTTAAACTTCGCTGCTTTCAATCTGGTACAAGTCAGAGAAATAAGGGAAATATATATTCTCAATTCCATGCATGTATTTTAAAAAATCTGAAATAGGCTTTTGACAGGTCTCACTGAGGCATGAAATTCACTCAGCAAATAAATTGAGCAGATAATTGCTCAATTTCTGGATGGAATACTAAACAAAACAAAAAAAGCGGATATATCCAAGCAATTTTTACACGGTACAACAGCAGGATGATGAAACGGATTCAGCTCTTTTTTAATACAGGGCCTCTATTTATAAGAACAGAACACACAAAGGAGGGAGAAATATTGCATCACAAAGGAAAAAGCTGGATTTTGTCGACCTTTACACATTCCTGTTGTAAATAACAATAAAAACATCATGTTTTGTCTTTAGCCAAGTTTTCCTGCAAACCCCAACAGTTTCTTAGCTTTGGTCCTTATTTAAAAAGATAGAGTATAACTAATTAGATGTACTAAATTCCATTTACTAGAGAGCATTTTAAAAAATAAATATTTTTCCAAGTTTTAAACTTTATTTGAACTTCACTCAGTACTTTACATAAGCTTTTATACTAATCTACTCATTGTGATTAAAAAAAAGCTTGTTTTTAATAAAAAACACACATTTACAGTTCACATTTGAGTAAAAGTTTATGTCTGTATTCAAGCTTCGCTAGTTAAATTTTATTTTCCATCTGCTGAATCATTTCAAGGTTACGTGAAAATACAGCAAATAAAATATGGAAATAAATTACCCTATTCTAACCTATACACATGATATAATGTAAGTATTCATTTGATATGTTTTTATAACAAAAAGATATATTTAATAGTTTGAAAAGTTTTCATCCAACCTAAAATTGCATGTATGTTGTTTAGCTTGACATAATTATTGGAAATATGTTATAAGATGTTTTAGAGATGAGCAGCATATCACTCAGTATCTTAGCATGTTTTTCATCAAATANTGTAAGTATTCATTTGATATGTTTTTATAACAAAAAGATATATTTAATAGTTTGAAAAGTTTTCATCCAACCTAAAATTGCATGTATGTTGTTTATCTTGACATAATTATTGAAAATATGTTATAAGATGTTTTAGAATTGAGCAGCAATCACTCAGTATCTGAGCAGGTTTTTCATCAAATACCTAGACTCTTATTGAGTTATTTCTAGAGTGAGTAAAAATACGATGAAGGGCTACTCTTGACTACAATTTGGGGCATCCTAACGCCATGTGCTGATATTTATCGAATACGAAAATACCACATCTTCTGAAAAAAAAAATTAAATAAAAAGACTTGTTTAAAATAGAGTATTTGCCAAAGTATTTTCTAATTTAAAATAGGCTAAATGACAAGTTAAACTTTGTTTTTTTACTCAACATGTTAAACTGACAGAGTTTAAACATTTCCATCGCTGCAAAGCTTCTGATGTTGCAGAACTACAGGCCTATTTCGAACCTCCCCTTCATCAGTAAGATTATAAATAATCTTTCGTAGTTAAATGACTTCCTAACAATGACCAGCTGCTTCAATGTCTTCCAGTCAGGCTTCCGTGTTAAGCACAGGACAGAGACTGCCTTTATTAAGCTATTCAATGACTTCTGTATAAATGTAGCCATTTGAAGTACCACATTGATGCTATTGGACATAGCATCACTCTATACTATTGATCACTCAATTTTATTAGAGCACCTAGAAAGCCGGGTTTGCCTTTCTGGTACAGCAATCAAGGCCTTTTTCGTGTCAGTTGGTTATTTTATATCAGAGAACACTAAAATCATGTGGCGTCTATCTTAGGGCCCCTACTACTTGGTTTTCTACAAACTCTGCCCAACTCAGATTTTATACCAACAACAACATAAATGATCATAAATATGCAGACGAAAGCCGTAAATTATGTCACCAGGTGACTATAAATTCATTCAAGCTCTGTGTAATGCACAGAAGACACATGGATGTGCAAACATTTTCTATTGCTGTGCCCAAACAAAACTAAAATAATAGTTTTTAGACAAAAGGAAAAGGTTTTTAAAAGTTTGCAAACAGCTTCAATCAGGCTCTAAATCTAGGTGTAGTGTGGACTCCNAAACTAAAATAATAGTTTTTAGACAAAAGGAAAAGGTTTTTAAAAGTTTGCAAACAGCTTCAATCAGGCTCTAAATCTAGGTGTAGTGTGGACTCCAACCTGAAGATTCAGAGGCTCATAAAGACAGCAACAAAATAAAACTTCTGTCACCTTAACATCTCCACGATTAAGACTAATGTCACAGGACTTTGAAACACTAATACATGTTTTAGTAGAATTGATAACAGCCGCAATGTCTTCACATGTCTGCCAATGTAGTTGTTTAGTCAGCTGCAAATGATTCAGAATGCTGCTGCTCAAGTCCTCACCGACATTAAGAAAGTAGAGCACATCACCCCAGTGCTAAAGTCCTATGCAGGCTTTCGGTATCTCAGACAATCGACTTTAAAATACTTCTGTTGGTCTACCAATCGCTGAACGTAGACCAACAGAAGCGCATTACAGACTTGTTGTCAGTATATCAAATGCCCAGACCTCCCAGTTGTTCTCGCTTAATTCTACTCTGCAAACAACCAAACCAGAAGCAAATCTAATCTGGAACAAACTCCCAGAAAATGTAATTAGTGCAGAAACCTTAAATGGTTTTAAATCCAGATTAAAAATCGATTTGTGTAGAGTGGCCTTTAACTGTGCTATCTGAACATTTTAATTAGCTTGAAGCCAAACTTTCATTCATTCTCTTCACAGTTTTATCATTTCTAAGTGATCTTGCAATCTATTATTTCTTGAGTGTTTTCCTATTCTGTACACCACTTTGGGTTGTCTTGCTACTCAAACATATATACATACATATATATATATATATATATATATATATATATATATATATATATATATACTTGCCTTGCTAAGTAATTAAGCTAACCATAGCCGGCTAGCCAAACGGTACTACTTATGTTAGCCAGTTGGCTAGTTAGCTAACCTGCTGGCTAGCTAGCTCAAGATTAAAATAAGTATTTGAAGGGAGTTGCATGTTTTAGATATATTTTTTGAATATTTCCCTATTATTTGAAGCCCGAGGGACATTATTCTGGTTACCGTTTTAAAAACATATCTCTAAATCATTAAAAATTGTTCCCCGTCTCTTGGCTTACATTAAAATTCATTGCTGTACCTCTTCAGGGACAACAAGCTGCATCACAATTAATGTCAAATTTCGAAGGAAGAAGCACTAAGTGTGACTAATGGTGTGTTTGAATTTTAAACGGCTGTCATATTTTACTAGTTCTCATTTAAAGTGGGAATTTTGATTGAAAAGTTGCTACTAAGCCAACAGATGTGGTGGATACATCCAAAAAAAGGCAAGCACAGAAAGCTATCTGCAAAACTGAAACTTACTAATGATGCCCTACATGAAAGAGCCTCCATGTACATTGACCAAACTTCAGTGGATTTTTAAATTCTTGAAAGCCAGAAACCCAAAAAACAACACAAAAGTCAAAAAAATAAAACAAAAAAAAATAAAACACACCACTTCAAAATCCTTTATTGACAATATTTCTATTACATGCAGACACACATGCATGGAAAAAACCAACACGCATGCAAAACCGTACCTACAGTGAACATGATGACAAAGTAAGGCTGTGTCTGTAAGGTGGAGAAGTGATATTAATTTACAATCCCCATCTTTAGTCAGCAACGCTAAGGACTCTGGTGTGATCAGAGCTCACCATCAGAGCCACTACTTAGTCGGGGGTCTCTCTAGACCAGCACCATATTACAACTAAATGTCCCTAATTAGATTTTCTCCACTGGCTGAAAATCCCCCTCGATTCTCGCCATGCGGGAGTTGACTTTTGAAAACACTGGAGACATTTATTCACATTTAAGTTAATTAAACCTTCCTCAGCTGTGACAGTTTTATGAAGAAGCAGGGGAGGTGAGACACAGGATGGTGATTCTTTTTTAAGCGAGTAGATGTGTGACAAACAGGATATCTACAGAACTTTTAAAAGTCACTGAGCCTTTCTGTTTTTGTGTCATGTGTAATCTTAGTTTGATAGCTCTTTATAATAAGGAGCTAGAGTAGGTGAGAGGTTCCTGTTTTCTTGAAATACTTTGGGTGCTAAGAAAGCTTGGCTGTACTGCCAGATTAATAAGCTTTTAGGTGTACAGGAAAAGGATGAAACCATCAAGCGCACGTCTTGGGCAATGAAGTGCTACTCACTGCTGGTCAGCTGGCTGAAAAAAAGCCCAGTGCAATTTTATCCCACTTACAATAAAGACAGGTTCAAGCCCCGGCTCAGGCTTTCAGTGTTGTTGTGTCCCTGCGCAAGAGACTCCACTCGTACCGCCTACTGATGGCGATGGGAGGGACTGGTGGCGCCAGTGTATTGTAGTATCAGCTTTGTCAGTGAGCCCCAGGGCAGCTGTGGTTACAGTGTAGCTTGCCACCATCATTGTGTGTGTGTGTGTGTGTGTGTGTGTGTGTGTGTAAATGACTGAATGTAGTATGAAGCGCTTCTCTGAATTGAAAACGTCAGAAAACGTAAAGTACAGGCGCATTAACCATTTAAGTACAGATCTAAAATTAAATTTAGAAATAATTTCTTTAGATTTTGCTCAAGTCATTATAGGAAAATTATAATAAAACTGTCTTAGCATGTTTTTCATTTTAGCTGCACTAATAAATTTCAAAATGCTGTCCGATCTTTTTTGCTGGTCATGATACTGTAAGAACGGCTCATTCCAGAACATGTTTAGTTTTAAACATTTTATAAAGAAACAGCTTTACATCAGGCCTGCAACTAACTATTATTTTGCAAACTGATTAATCTGTCAATTATTCTTTCGGTTAATCGATCAATAATCGGATAGCAAAAGGTTTCTTAAAGAAGACTTTTTGTGAAATTAACCCAGGTGAAACTAAAACTTTTCCAGACTTTTGTTTGCTTTTTTTTTTTTTTACAATTTTGGTCAGCTAAAGGTACATTTTAGAGTCTGTACACCCCGGTTGACCATCAATCGATTACTAAGTTAGTTGACGATTATTTCAATAATTAATTAATCCGATTATTTGTTTCAGCCCTAGTTTACATCCACTGAGAAGTCATCCGTTTCTCCTTCAATGTGGCCACAACAACTTTGTCAAAAAATTTATCAGGTTTTAGCTCTGCTTGGCTACTAAATAAGATGTTTTATTGTTCAGGGTGTAAATAAATATTAGTCCATGCTCATGCTGAATTAACTGAGAAAACCAATGCATTTTTACTCCAGATCAACATACCATGAGAACCTGGTGGGGTCCATTCCTAATAGAAACAGCTGTAGAAGCCACAGAGTTTTAGGTTTAAGGATACATTACATCTTCTTATCTACTTTGTTTAGATCGGCTTCAGAACCTTATGGTGTTTGCAGGATAGATATTTAGGACTTTTTGGGCTAGATGAGCCGTTGAGGAAAGGAAGAATGCGGAGGAATAAAAATATAAAGAGAATGCTTAATAGGAGCTTGAGAGATTGAGCTTACCTTCAGAGAAGAGCCTCGAGGACTGACACACTTGAATGGTTTCTCCTCGCCGTCCACGGGATCGTCCACCTTCTGTCTCTTCTCAGCGGCCTCAGCCCTTCTCCTCTCAATCTCCTCTTTCATCTTCCTCTTCTCCTCCTAAGGCAGACAAGACAAGGCGAAACTAATCAGTTTTACACCTTTGAATATTCATTTTGTTGTTGCAGGACATTGCTGAACCTGTAATCTGCTCATTAAACCTTATTTAACGTGCATATTTATACAGATTGGTTCCATTTCTGACTTTTCTGATTGTTTAAATGTTTTAGACATAACCAACATAATCAAAAATGAACAAAAGTGGCTCTAAAGGGAGGAGTTGTTATATTAAAGAAGAGAAGCTGAACATAAATGTGAAAATAGAGAGAAAAACATCAATTTCTCTAGGAAGGGTTACCAAGTCAATTTTAAGGGGACTCCACAGAACCACAGCGCTAGTCATTACTCACAAATGGAGAAATGATGAAGCTGTGTTGAACCTTCCCATAAGAGGTCGTCCTACCAAAGGTCGTCTATGAGCCAATCAAAGACTCACCCAGAAGGTCACAAAACAACCCAGAAGGACGCATAAAGCCCTGCAGAATAGCTCACCTCGATTAAGGTCAGTCTGCAACAATAAGAGAGTTTAAAGGCCTAATCCACTGCTGACTGAAGAGAACACAAAGACCCCAAAAAATATGGTGATCCCCAAGACTTTTAGGAAAATTTTAGAAAACGAAAACTTTAGGAAGGTGTTAGCCCATTTACGTCGCATTTAAAAATAACACTGATTCAGATTGAGAGTTAGTCTGGTGGATAAATTGTTTTTTTAAAATTATTATTACATCATAAACACTCACCGTTCCCTTTATTAGGTACAACTGTCCAACTGTTCGTTAACATAAATTTCTAATCAGCCAATCACATGACAGCAGCTTAAAGCATTAAGGCATCTAGCTGTGGTCAAGACAACCGCTGCAGCTCAAACTGAGCATCAGAATGGGAGAGAAGGGGGATTTAAGTGACTTTAATGGTTGGAGTATTTCAGAAACTGCTGATCACGCCCAACCATTTCTAGGGTTTAGAGAAAATGGTCCAAAAAAAGGGAAAACAACCATTGAGCGGCGGTTCTATGGGTACAAATGCCTCGTCGATGCCAGAGGTCAGAGGAGATTGGCCAGACTGGTTGAAAGGCAGCAGTAACTCCAATAATCATCTCTGAACGCACAGCATGCCGAACCTTGAGGCAGATGGGCCACAGTAGCAAAAGGCTACACCGGGTGCCAGTCCTGTCAGCAAAGAACAGAGATTGAGGCTACAACTCACACAGGTTCACCTAATTGCACCTTAGAAAATTGGAAAAATGTTGCCTGGTTGAGTTGAGTCTCAATTTCTACTGCTACATTGGAATAGTAGGGTCAAAACAGCATGAAAAACATATTTTTATTTATTTCTAATAGTTTGGGGGATGTGTTATGAGTGTGTTTGTAGGCTATATACGTATGTGCTTTTAGCTGGGATTTATTGTTTCAAACGGCAGCTACTACTATGCACTAACAAATGTCCCCTAGGGGACAATAAAATATATTCTATCCTTCTCATTGAAGCATCCATCCAGACTTGTATCAACAGTTCGGGCTGATGGTGATGTGTAATGGTGTGGGGGATATTTTCTTGGCATACTTGATACCATTAGTACCAGCTGAGTTAACGCCACAGCCTAGCCGAGAATTGTTGCTCACAATGTCCATCTATTTATGAACCCAAAGTACCCATCTCATGTACCCATGACATAATTCATCTTAGACTGGTTTCATGAACATGACAATGGCTACGTTCACACTGCAGGCCTTGATGCTCAATTCCGATTTTTTGCGAAATCCGATTTTTTTTACGTTGCCATTCAAATTTCCAAATATATGCGACTTGAATGTGATCTCCTGTGTGAACTGCAGTCATACAACGCAAGTGTCCCACATGCGCAGTAGATGACACAATGCCGTCACAGGCCAGCGTGATCTTTTTTTCCGGAAGTAAACATGGACGGTAGTGCCGGTGCGCATCTAGCGGTCTTTTCCAATCATAAAAACACATTCTTTTCAATATAGTTAAACATAAATACTGCTCTCCGCATCATCATCTCTCATGGTTGTTGTTTTTCTTGCCGCTTCTGCGTAGCAACACGCATAATAGTGACCTGTGTCGGGTATTAATGATGTTCAGGTCGGATGAATCCGACCTGGCCGTTCACACACAGGTCGCATTTGAAATCGGATTCGTATCGGATTCGGGACCACATAACCAAGTGGCCTGGGTCAGATTGGAAAAAATCGGATCTGTGTTGTTCAGACAGCCATGAAAAGATCAGATCCAGGTCGCATATGGGCAAAAAAAAAAATCGGATTTGGGTCACTTCAGGCTGCAGTGTGAACGTAGCCAATGAGTTCACTGTATTCAAATGGCCTCCAAGGTTACAAGATCTCAATCCAACAGAGCACCTTTGGGATGTGGTAGAATTGGAGATTATCATGGATGTGCAGCATTTACATTATGCTATCATTTAAATATGGACCGAACTCTTTCAGGAATGTTTCCAGTATCTTATTCAATTTATGCCACAAAGGACTAAGGCAGTTCTGGAGGCAAAAAGGGGTCAAACCCGCTGCTAACAAGGGGTAACTAATAACATGGCTAGTGAGTGTATAGATGTATTCTTAACCATTTCACTAAATAAGACGGTTTTGTTAGAATATTTTTCCTAGGCTTAATTCATTCATTCATTCTGTGTATAGCTGTTTAGTCCTGCTCTTTAACTAAAGCTGGTCTGGTATAGTAGGGTCAGGTTGTTTGATGATCTGGGGTTGTTCTGATTTTTTAGGACCTGTATCATTTAACTTTACTGATGAAACCATGATTTTTTCTCTGTCTTCCACCATGAGTTCATGATCCTGAAATAAAAAAATAAAAACTGACTCTGAATGGCACAATCTTTGTTTCGAAATAGTGCTAAAATGTGATTGAGACGCTGCACTGTCGCCTTTAACAGGCCGTTCATGCTCAGCAACCTTCTAATGTGACTGAATAAAAACAATCCTGCAAAGAAAGGGTGGCTAAAACATCTCCAGGGATGTATATGTTGAAACAGGGTCTTGCATAAAAAGAGGATAAGTTTGATTTAGACAGATATAAAAATTATTTTCAATTTACCCAGATTATATTCTGATATGAAAATTTGCTGTGATCAACAGAAAAAACCCAAGAAATCTGGTATATTTCTAGAGAACTGTATCTGTATCCTTTGATGCAGGTTACAAAGATGTTAAATCACTCAAAAGATATTCTTATTTACAGTTGTCCTTTCTTTTAGACAGCGGCCCATTTGGACAACAACATGAAAAAAAAAAAAACCCAGCAACAAAAACCAATTAACGTACCAGCTATTTGTTGTGAATTCAGACAATGGCTGGAGCTTGGCAGTGAGTCAACCCTCTCCAGCTTCCTTGTCTTGGTTAATTAGTCTCTCTGTATCTCTGGGCCATCTTTTAATTACTAACCAAAAGGCCTCATTAACATCACACAAGAGAAGGAGAACGGGGGCTGATAGTGGGAGACGGGCCGCCACGTTCGGTGCCAAGATCAACAAAGGCGACCAGTCAGGGTGACGGCGAGAGCGCGGGGGCCTCGGGGCGAGCGGATTGAAAGTAAAACCGACGACACCTCCGTTTAGAAGACAACTCAAAGGAAGATACAAACGGAAACATCAGGGTGAGGCTGTTAGAGGAGGAAAGAGCAACAGATGGAGATTTAACGACTAACAATAGGGTTGATTTAAGAGGAAAGGACCAGAACTTTAGCGTGATGTTTTGTACAAGCCTGTACCGACCTACAAAAAAGGATGAGAAGAAAAAGCAGCGAATGATTGAAGAATTACCTCCTCTCTGGCTTTCCGTTCCGCCTCCTCCTGCTTCCGCTGCCTCTCCTCCTCCTCCAGCACCTTCCTCCTCTCCTCCCGCTTCCTTTTCAGCTCCTCCAGCTCAGCTTCGGCCTCCTGCTGCTTCTGCCTCATCCTCTCGAACTCCTCGCTCTCTGCGTCATCACGCCGGCGCTTCAGCTCCTCCAGCTTGCGCTCTGCCTCAAGGCGGGCGTCGTCATCCTGCTCGTCGCCAGCGGACACCTCGGGGGAACGGACACTGCTGCGGCTGAGGCGGACAACAGAACAAGGAATAAAGTTACCTCCTGACACTTGATCTGGACTTAATATTTAAAACACAGAAACCCAGATTTTCTTTCTGAGAGAATAAAAAAAAGCAGGACTCCTCTGCAGGTAAAGTTAGCTCCAATTGGAGGTTCCAGAAACTACTGACCAATCGGGGCTGAAAGCAAGTGTATGCCACACTTTTTAGACTTCTCTTTGAAGATCTCTTGATAAAACACACCATTTAAAAACGTATTGTGTTGAGCAATCCCATTTATTACCAATAAAATACACAAAACTCCACAGAAGGAGAAACTCCCAATATAATGGGTGGATACAAATGCTACAAATTAAAAAATCTTGGAAACTTTTCTTGTGGCTGAGGATCTCAGTTTAAACTTAGCAAAAAGCTCCTAAATATTTCAGCAGACTTGAGGAGACGCAAACAATGACTCAGCACGTTTGTACCTGAGGGTCCTCTCAGGTTTCTTGTGCTGTCTGGGAGCTGCCTCGTCATGCAGCCCTCCGTTATGCTTCCTCTGATCCTCCTCAGAGTCTTCCCTCTCGTCCACCTGTCGCAAAAAAAAAAAAACAAACACTCCCATCAACCACCAGTTGTAAACCAGCAGGAAAAGGAGGCGGAGAATTCAGAAAAGGGGGCGTGGCCGATTGTGAGCAAAACCCAAATTCAATGTGACTGAAAAGTGCTGAGCTGTTGGAGTGGAAGTGGTACAGGAGGAACACGGTGATCACTTTCTGGAGCGTAACAGGGCCTGTAAAAAGTCACCACGGTTACGGTGTGAACCACGCCACAGAAACAAAGTGCTCGGGTAATTTCAGTGTCCTGCTCCTTTAATCACATTTAATTAGCATGAGTTTGTTTTAGTTTTCAGGAACTCCTACAGAGGCCTGATTATGAATCTTAAACACATTAAGACACTGAAGTTACCCTTTGAAGCGGTGCAGCAAACCTACACTGAAGTTCTTACCGCATGTATGACACCTCATTATCCTCTGATTGCTGTATCTCAGATACCTCAAAGTCCTCTTCAATGTCATTTAGTAATATACGCTGGCTGTCTGTTTGGATATCTATATAATCATCCTCAGGTACCTCTTCAGCCTCCCCTGATGCTACTGAATCCTCCTCAACCTCTGAGTTTGCCGGCTTGGCCTGATTTGAACTCTCACTGACTACCGAATGGGTTTCTTCTTCAATGAGATCCTAAGAAAAGGGATTACAGCAGTCCTTTGAAGCACAGGTCTGGGATTGGCTCGAGGATTTGCATTTCAAAATAAAAAATATAAGAGACTTTTCCTGCGTACCTTGTGTTGCATTACAGTCTCCTCTGTTGATGCCTGGAGAGAGAAGCATCATATTTGCACCGTTTGTAAGCAAAAACTAAATTAACACCTGGTTTACTTATTTTAATTTACGTTTTGTCTAAATAAAGACCTTAAATAATTATTTATTCGTTTTTTTTTTTTTTTCGATATGCACAAATGATATACAAATAAAACCTTATCAATTAGAACTGCATCTGTGAAATTTTTACATGATGATTATGGTTTTAATGTTAATAAATGAATTAAACTGACCTGTTCTCTCATGTAAGACTGTCTTGGTTTGGTTTCTACAGCTTCATCCCTCTGCTCCTCCTCTTCCTCTCTCTCAGGAGCAGCTTCCTCTTCCTCCTCTCTAGGTTCCTCTGGTTCTTTTTCCTCCCGCCTCGAGCTGATGCTTTCAGTCTTCTCTTCCTCCTCCACGGTGTCACGGTAACGCCGGCCGCGCGTGTGTCTCTCCTCCTCTGTGCTGTTTTTCTCCAGGCCGACGCCGTCGCCGGCGTCCGCGGCGGTGGGGTCCAGCTGCCTCTGCCTCTCCAGCGCCTCCTTCATGCGCCTCTGCCGTCTCTCCTCTCGCTTGGCCATGCGCTCCTGCAAGGCCTGGTCCTCATCCTCCCCGCCATATCCATAGGAGCTGCTCACAGAGACGGATTCTGTCACGCTACGGGGAGAGAAAGGGGACAATCTGCCTTAGTCTGTGCAACACTGACTCCATTAAGAAAACACTAACAGCTTCTTTGATTTCTTTCAAACCTTCTTTAACACATCCACTTAAACTGTACTAGAAAATCTAACCTTTAGCTGCTGTGTAACTCTTTAGGTCTTACATGAGTTTAAACATGAGGAAAAACGGCTGATTAGGTGAAACATCGAGCCCGGTCATGTTTGAGCAATCCGTGCTGCTTTTAATGCAAGTATGAAACGTCTGTGCAAATGGAGATCAGTGATATTATCGGTTATTGATGTCGTATTTCAGTCAAAGTTGGAGGGAAAATGTGTCCGAATTTTTTTTATCTGTGTCCAAAAACCAATGCCAAGCTGGCTTATGTGGGGGTCATTTTATTTAAGTAATGTCGTCAAAGTTTCAGTTATTTTCAGTGTTCCGATTATTGCTGGGAAAAATATTATTTGTTAAGGCCACAAACCTGACTTCAAAAGCATTTCCTCCATTTGACATTTTAAATATTGGTTAAGAGAATCAAGCCTGATTTGCTTTATATCTAGATTGATAGGAAAAACATGAAGTAATACATTTTAACATGATGCAATCTTTAAATAAACCTAAGCAAATCCTATACGATATAACAGATTACAAGGAGACCTAATAGAGCAAAGAACATTAAAATAAGACTTTACGAAGGAGGGTGGGGGGTAGGAGGAGAAGATTGTTATATTTTTTTGCTTTGTTTTCTTTTGATGTTAAAAATCAAAACTCATCTTCCTTGTTTGGTGTGTTTTTAAGACTATATATCAATAAGTTTACTTTATAAATACAAATCTTCAGTATAACTGTAAATGCTTGCTATACACTATAAATATCTTGTAAACGCTTCTGTTAATAAAATAATCTTTTTTTTTTTATAAAATGTATAATTTAGCATTCACAAAAATTACACAAAGTTATTAATCCGCCTCTTATGGCATCTTATCCAGAGTTACCAGTAATTATAGACTCAAAAATATAGCAAAATGTTTATACCAGATATGAAACAGATCTTTTTTTTTTTTTTTCTCTGTTCAATAAAAGAGAAAACAGCAACAATGATGATGCAGATAAGGACAGAAGAATACAAAATATCCAGATGGTTTCCCACCGTTTACAATTTCCTTCCAATCCTTCACCCTTTCAGCAAAAGGTCAAAACTTAGCAGCTACAGCGCCAGGCAGATGTAGAAAAATCAAGGGTTTGTGTTTTTGTTGTGCAGCGTAATCTGTTCTGTAGGAAACTGAAATAAAAGCAGGAAAAACGAAAATCTTTTTCCCTTTTCTTCAATTTTTATCCAATTACCATCTAGATATGTTTTAACCTTAGGGAATCCTGAAAAAAACAAATCGGGTAGAAAAACAAAAATAACAAAATTATCAGTTTTGTCTGTGTTTAATCTAGTATCCAAAACATGATTAATACGTTAACTGCTCTTTCTAAAATGGGTGTTTGCACCAATAGATCTAATGATCAAACTTCAAAGAAAATAATTATTAAAATTTAGTCTCAAATGGGGCCTGCTCAGGCTAGCATTTAGCTCGACTCATCATTGTCTCTGATTTTCCAAACTAAGATTGAATCTGCTGCAGGTAAACCAACATCTAGTTCAAATATCTACATCTGGAGTATCAATCTTATGCCAACACGTAAACAGAGCATATCCTTCGATCTCACTCAGACCAGCATGACTCAAACTATTCTGACCTTAACGTCTGGCAAACATTACCCTTCACTCCAAACAATCAACAATGGTTTGTGAGAGCTTGTTCCTGGCTCAGCATCCTCAGGCACAATCCCCCTGTTGTTTCACCAGCCCAGGATGTATCTCTGAGCCCAAAGGGAGGAAAAATTCACCACCACAAAGCAACGTTTGTATTTTTGGATGTTAATTCGTAATCACTCCAATGAGATGGGTTTTTACTCCCGCCTCCTTTTACTGTTTTGCTCTTCAAGCATTTTTCAGAAAGGGATGAGATCATGCATTTTGTTTTAGACATGTTCTAGGAAGGAAGTGATTCCGACTTGCTGCCCGTCGCTCTAATGAGGTCACTGACTTCATCTCAGTTGAAGAAGCACATTTTATCAGCTACACTGGTCTGGGTTCAACAAGTTTAAAGCTTAGATAGCCTTTTTCTTTTGCTTTAATACAACTGGAAGATGGAAGTGACCAGTTTAGGCGGCTGCGCCGCTGTGAGAGTTTCACCTGTGGCTGTTGGTCAGGACGCTGCTGTCTGGCTGGCTGCTTGGCTCCTCGCTCTCCCTGCTCCTCAGCCTCTCCTGGCGTGCCCTGCGCCTCCTCTCGCGGGCAGCCTCCTCCTCGTCGTCATCGTTCCTGAGCATGCTAAGGGGAGCAGAAAAAGAGGAATGTGAGAGGACAAAATGACTTTTTCTTCCTTGCCCTTTCTTTACGCAATTTCCAACCCTCCTTCCGATCCTCATTTAAACCTCCAAGTCAAACTTCAAAGAGAAGGACTCTTTAAATTGAACTGTAATCGCCACGGTGACCAGGGCTGATGGATTTGCTTCGCGTTTTTTTTTCCTCCCTTTTGCCCCACTCCTTCCTCTTATCACGTTGACCTGTCAGCTTTGAGACATCTTATACTTCTTATCGAGGCTGCAGTTTTCACGAGCTGATAAAAAAAGTCAGCCTGAGACCTCGCTTGGCTGCGGATAAGAGAGGACCATCAAAGTGTTTCTGGCTTGTCCGAATCTGGTCTAATTTATAACCGATCTTAACAGTTAATAATTCTTTGAGAAAGATATAAAACCAGGAATCAGCTTTTCTAACATGAACAAAATTGAATGAAAAGTAAAATCCACTAAAACTTCTTTACAGTGTGCTGGAGTAAGATGGTCAGTAACTGAAGACATGAATGTCAAAGGCACAAAATTGCAATTATTACTGTAATTTTGCATATATTGTCAACCAATTTAATTATTTTACATTTAACTAAAATAAAAATCTCAGTGAAAATCTTACATTTCATTGCTACTGGTACTAAAAAATAGCCAGCCTTAATTTCTCTTCCTTCAATAACAACCTCCACACTGAACAGTGTGGCTTTAGTCTTTTAAATACTCTAAAGATCCCAAAAAAGCGCTATTGGTCTCACAGTGACAAGAATAAAAAAAAAAAAAACTTTTTGCTTTTAAGCGTTCACATTTCATGAGGTCAGCTGCTGAGCAAACAGGAAGTGCCCTCCACTTTAGCCTACATAATTCCACAAATGAAAACATGAAAGCAACAAGGTGGCTCTGCAGGCCTTTTAGATTGATGAAGAAATGGTACACAGCACAATATTTACATTACATAGAAAACACATTTTACTAATATCTATATTTTCTCACTGCTAGCCAATTCGCATCACTATCATACAGTTTACTCTTAGAATTTCTGCACCTGAAAAAGGGTGACTTTTCAATCTCAAAAAACAGAAATCATCACTTTTCCTAATTTAAAATCTCCACTCAAACCGAATACACAACTGTTTCCTACTAGCTAAAGAGAAGAGAAGTCAGAGAGAAAAAAGGCACGCATGCATATATATCAACAAAGAAGAATGGTTTAATATCGATATAATCTACTGATATTGCCGTTATGGCCAACAACTAATCAGGTTTTTTATATTTCCTTACCTATTCTCCCTGAAAAACTAACCACAGTGCTGACATTTTCTCTGTGCTTCAGTTCAACACATAATCCAGCGCTGCATCATTATTTTACTCTTGCATCACTTAAACAAACATTGCATGACTAAAACAAACATGACCTCGTAAAACAAAAAACAGTGACTATATGGAGACCAGCTGTTATCATCGCTCTGGTTGTCGTTATTGGACTCACACAGGTGTGTCTAAAAATGATTAACATCGGCCGATACAAATGTTGATGCCCATATCTAATGGGATGCCCATCTTCTAAAAGAAGAGAATTCAAATCATCAGTGGACACAAAAACACTTTAGTTACATTAACTTATAGGAATTAAAATGTCAACAACTCTTTGTCTAAAATGCGGCTTCTGCTTAATAAAAATTTGTCCCTTTTTTTGTTCCTGACAGAATAACGCTACCTGACTGACGGAATACGCTACCTGACGGAATACGCTATTCTACAAAATACGCTACCTGACGGAATACGCCAGCTGACGGAATACGCCAGCTGACGGAATACGCCAGCTGACGGAATACGCCAGCTGACGGAATACGCCAGCTGACGGAATACGCCAGCTGACGGATTATGCTACTTCTATAAAGTAATATTTTATCGACTAAAAAATAAAGATCAACTAAAACCCATAATAGCGGCAAAACTCTATGGCTGAAGCTATCTGTTCTCATTTGCTGGTCAAAAACAAAATTTTCCAAGCACACAGCAGGTGCATTGAAAGGTCAAGGCAGGTTATGAGTAAACATCTGGTTTTTGGATTAGTTTTTACAACTCTCTTGCTCTACTTACAATAATGCCCAGATATTAGCAAAGATCTACTGTTGAAAAATACAAAACAAGCAATACTTTGGTTACATCTTACTGCAAAAATGATCTAGAAATAAGTAAAATGTCTTAAATTAAGTGTATTTGGCCTTAATTTGAGCAGGTAAATAAGATTTGCCAACTGAACTTGTATTTTTACTCTTAAAATAAGATAATTAGATAGTAGCACTTGAGATAAGACAATGCAATTGTTTTTTCTTATTTTAAATGCAACGTGTCTTGTTTTGTTGACAAAGTGACTTAGCTCCTCAATTTAAAAGCTAATGCACCTATTTAAAAAAAATGACTTATTGAGATTTAGATTTTATGCAATGTTAATGCGATCAGCCACCAAGATGTCATGAACTGAAATAAGAATAAAATCCTAAAAATAATCAAACCCTCCCTTTAAAAAGAAAAAAGTAGATATGATGGAAAGCAACATTTTCCGTTCTCTATCAGAGACCAAGTTGTAGTAGTGTGCCTGGTTGACACTGTACTGTAAATAAACAGCTAAAATATATTGCAAAGCAATTATATTTGTGCTATTTTATTTCCTACCCCTTGAAACTTTAAAATTCCTGCCTGAAACCGGGTTATTCGAGCCACCTGACGTTTATGAACCGAGCACCACGCTTCATCGGCGTTGCCCCGGCTGACCCTTACACTCCCACAGCTAACCGCATGCCCCCGCTACCTCAGATCACAGCGCAGCTTTTTGAGGTCAGCCAGCGAAGCATGCCTCTGCATGTTAATTGCAACATGTGTGGTGAGCAGAGCCAAAGCTCCTCTGGTTTTATGTGAAGTTTTACAGCTTGTGAACAACTTTTCCCTTCATTCCTTGCTTTTCAGCTGCTACTCCTCAACGAGCTCTGTCTCCAATTTTGCTCTCATATGAACAATGTTGTCATAACAATAACAAAAAATCTGCTGACGCCCATGGAAGGCCTATGGTGACATTAGTGATGTCAGGCAATGCTTTACATATGTGATTCCTTAAATCAGAGATCCATAAGGAAGGACATCTCTGTTCATTATTATGAATTAATAATAATTGTAGTAATTAAATCTTCACTATTCAAGGATCCTGCCATCTGGACTTTGACCGAACCACATAAAGTAGATTGTTGATTTTCTCAAACAGGATTTTCTCAAATATGTTACAGTGAATTAGAGTCAAAGATTGTTGCTCTGTCTTTGAATACACTATCAAGATGTCCTCTGGTTTATTCAGATACAACTTTGCAAGCATAAGTTGTGCTGCAGCTTCTGGACATTTCTTACTTATAGCTTTGTTTTTCCCCACAGCTCCATGAAAGTCATGGAAACTTTCATTAGCATGACAGAAATGTTGCATAAGAAGAATGGAGATGATATCTTTTACTTTCAATCATTTTATCTTGCAGAAAAAGCCTAAAAAAATTAACTAGGATGTGCAGTATACTTAGGTTTTGGCAACTTTTTTTCATAAGAAACCTCATCCTCAGCTATATTACCCTGTAACAGAAAAGCTCATTAACCTTCATTTACTTTGCCATGGTAACATGATGTTTTTTGAGACGAAAAAGTAGTGAAACAACTGCTCCATCTCCCACAGGACCGATCCGCCCCAGAAACGGCACCGAATGTCATGAGAAAGAGGGAAAGACACGGGGCTAAAAATGGAACAAAAAGGGTCCTTGGTGGCTGCGATGGCGGCGACAAACTCAGGGTTAAAGATTCCCCCGTAGGAGAGAAGGAAAAGAAAAAACTCCTAAAAGCTGAATTAGCATTCCTGTCAATCACAGCCTTGGCGCATGCACTAAGCAAAGCCCTGATTTAATATGCCCCCCCCATCTTCCTTACCTGGGCCCCAAACTCTATCAGCATACTGACAGAAATATGAGGTGGGAGCAAAGGACAAGGGAGAGCTAGTGAAATGGGGAGCAGGGATAAAAAGGAGAAGCGGGAAATGAAAAACGGGAAGGAAAGGGTGGGCACAATAATGGAAAAAGGAGTAATCTGCAGATTTTATCACGGCCAACTTTTCCTGTACAAAATGATGTGCAGCCATGGTTATTATAAGCTTCAGCTAAGAGTGTTCGCTGGTGTACAGCATCCAACAGATGTCTGTTTCTAGGCTGACCAAACAAAAAATGGGAAGAAAACAGGAAAGATTGCAAGTAACATATATCTTTACAGTAAAAGCCAAAAATATTCATACTGCTTGAACTTAAAAAAAAAAAAAAAAATACTTTTATGAAGTTACCACTAGGACTGAAAGAGTGAATCGAACTAATCATTATGAATCGATTACTAAAATATCAACTAATTTAAAAGTATAGAGACTTTAAAACACGCCTTTAACAACCCACTTAGGGCTGTTATAATAGCAAAATAATATATATAAAAAAAATAAAATTAAGATAAAAAAAAGTGGAAAAAGTGTTAGTTTCATATAATTATCAGATTGTTAAATGGAAAAATAATCAACAGATAAATTGCTTAGTAAAATAATCGTTACAACCACACATTTGGAGAGGCAGCATTATCATATAGCAACCTTTTATAGGGGTATTACTGTGAAGCAGAAGGAAAATTACATTTTTTTCAAATAAAATCTTAAATGTGTGGCATGCATTTCATATCCTTTGCTTTGAATTGTTTTGCAGCATTAGATTAAATATCATCCAGATAACATTTTTATTTTTACACATGTATAATTGGGATAATGTTCCTTCCATTTCAGTTACACACCACTTTGTGTTGCTCTATCACACACAATTTCAACTCTGTGACAATTTCTTAAACATTGGGAGAAAAAAAAAAATAGAACAACAGACAGCTCAAATTATGTAGCATAGTTCTATATGAGCTTTCAGAAACTAC